AGTGGAAAAAAGGGTGTTCCACTTTAGGGGCGGTTTCCGCTTTAGGGCGGAGCCTGGAACCAAACCCGCCGTAAAAGGGGGGCCTTCTGTACTACTGGTAACAGAAAGGCAATCAGGAAGCTGTTGTTGCGAAAGGTGCAAGTATTTTTTCAAAACGGAGACCACAAATAATTAAAGGGGTGGACGTTATTGGTATAATAACGAAAAACAATTATCAGGGATATTTTTTCTCAGTCTAAAATTTTGAAAAGGCAAGGCTTGCATGACGATCTCTTTAGAAAATGCCTCAAATAGTGATGTTTTGATGAATTTAAGGCCAAAAAGGGCTGGTGAGAGATTTAAAATCATAGTGGCATCACAGGTTTTGGAAGGCAGGGGAGGCTGCTGTTCAGACAAAAAAAACGGCTGAAAAAATATGAAGGGCTTTATGGAATACATAGAGACTGAAAACTTAAAACCTGAACAAGCGTTGAATTGTGACGAAACAGGCCTGTTTTGAAAGAAAATGCCAAACAGGACCTACATTACTCAGGAGGAAAAGGCACTCCCAGGACATAAGCCTATGAAAGACAGGCTAACATTAATGTTGTGTAGTAATGCTAGTGGTGATTGCAAAGTGAAGCCTTTATTGGTGTATCACTCTGAAACTCCCAGTGTGTTCAAGGAAAATAATATCGTCAAGGGTAATTTGTGTGTGCTGTGGAGATTCAAACAGTAAGGCATGGGTCGCTAGGGAATTTTTCTTGGGCTGGTTTTATGGTGTGTTTGGCTCCACTGTGACAAAATACCTCCAGGAAAAGAAATTGTCACTCAAGTGCCTCCTGGTAATGGACAATGCTCCTGCTCATCCTCACAACTTGCAAGAGGAAATTGCAGGGTAGTTTGGTTTTGTTAAAGTTAAATTTTTGCCTCCTAATACAACCCCTCTCATCCAGCCCATGGACCAGCAGGTCATTTCAAACTTCAAAAAAACTACACAAAAGCAATGTTGCAAAAGTGCTTTGAAGTGACCTCAGACACTCAGTTGACCCTAAGAGAGTTTTGGAAAGATGACTTCAACATCCTCAGTTGCATAAACCTTATAGGTAAGGCTTGGGAGGGAGTGACTACCAGGACTTTGAACTCTGCTTGGAGGAAACTGTGGCCACAATGTGTATAAGAGAGAGATTTTGAAGGGTTTGGGGCTAACCCTCAGGAGCCTATGCCAGCAGTGGAAGCTATTGTGCCATTGGGGAAGTCCTCGGGGTTGGAGGTTTGTGGCGAGGATGTGGAAGAGTTGGTGCAGAACGATGAGGAAGAACTAACCACTGCAGACCTGCAAGAGCTTCAGTTGCAACAGCAACAGATCACATCTCAGGAATGTTCTTCAGGGCAGGAGGAAGAGAGACGGAGGAAGATGGCTTCGTCAAGGATTAGGGAAATGTGTTCAATGCTTACAAAGGTGCAAGCATTTTTAGATGAATTTTATCCTGTCATAGAAGTTGCAAGCCATATTGGCAACATGTACAATAACACTTGTGTCCCATTTTAGGGAAATCCTAAGGGCACATGAGAAACAGAGTTCTCTGGACAGATTTTTGGTACAACAGGGGTCCAGTGACTCTCAAGCTGGTCCTAGTGGCATTAAAAAAACAAGAAGGGAGGTAACTCCACCAAAGGACTTAGTACCTCAAGGCTTTATGGAAGAGGATTCCCTTTGCAGATAATAAAAACCTGCATCATCTTCCCTCCTACCGTCTCATCACCCATCAACAACTCCACAATAAAGGTAAGTGGAATTTAATTATTGTTTATTTTGCATGTCCCATTCGTTTTTGTGTAGGGAAATGTATATTTCATGTAAAAAAATTATTTTAATACTTTTGGGTGTCTGGAACAGATTAATTCTATTTCCATTATTTCTTATGGGGAAAATTAATTCGACTAACGGCTAGCTCTCTGGAACGGATTAATACCGTTGGTTGAGGGTCCACTGTATACAGTACACTACTGTATAGACATTTAAAAATATACCAGAAGTGTTATAAATGGTCCAGAGGTGACATTAAAACAATATCAAAGATGGTTGACACAAACCCAATACCATTATAGTATGCTCCTCATTTAGTGACGAATTCATTTACCAACGTGGTCTTAGGAACAGAACTCTATCGTTAAGTGAGGAGAAGCTGTAAAGATGCCTAACTGTTGCACGTGTCTTACCAACCTGTCAGTATTGTATACCATTTTGATATTCACTCTGTCAGACACTGCAACACAATGGTATCTTAGTACAGAAGAGAAAACACCTTGGACAACTTTTTCAATTGAAAATGTTGGATTTAAGAAGGACGTGACCTCAATGTATATAGTCTTTCTTCTACTACTGGACTACACCTCACCTTTTGACTATGTAAGTCTCCATACTGTCGCTTAAACTTCACATTGTTTGAGACTATGGAACAAAACTGAGGGACTGACCACCTCAAAACTACATCATCAATGGTGATGGACTGATTACATCATCACCACATCTCTACTGCTCCTGCCAACTTTTCTGTACTCGACTGAAGAAGCCTACTGTGTAAGCAAAACGTTTCGGAATAAAGAGATACCTAACTGTTGTATACGTATCTTGCTTCCTTTAGCACTCCTCACAGTGCTTCCTAATGTTATCTTTATTGTCCTCTCCACCCTTGATTATCCTTTGATCCTGCTTTACTCCCTGCCCTGCAGTGCTGTATGACCCTAGTGGGTTTAGTGCTTCTCTTTTATTATAATAATAGTAAGCCAAAGTCATCTTGTATGATGAAGTGTGACAGGAAAACCCATCATGTGTGATGGTGTGTTGGTGAACAATTTTTTGCTCTACTTTGTAAACTGCCACATAGACCACTGTAACAATATAATGTGACATAATTAAATAATATGACACAAAATAAACTCTTAAAGTTTGAAGTAAATGAAGAAGCAATCTCAAGTTATCACTAGAAATAGATGCAGAAAAAACTTTTACTACTGTCTATATTTGCAGACGAGGATACGTAATAAATCGTCAGTCATATACTATATGTAAAATAAGAATGTACCTTAGTTCATTATAAACACAACATAAAATGTCATGGAAGTAATTTCATTTAGTAATAAACTTTGTAACACATGTATATGAGAATTATGTCAAAATTATAACTGAAATCCCATAAGAATTATGTAAGGTTCTGGTACATGTACTTTAGAAAAGTACTCTAGAAGGGTAAGTAATCTGTTTGTAGGTACTGTTATTAGTAACATATAGATGCAGTATAGGTCATAAAGCATCTTGAGAGTGGCAGGTACAGTATTGAAATAGGAAGAAAAGAGGGCAGCTGTCACTCCTTACATCAAGAGACCTTCACCAACATTAAGGCTCCTCCTTGAAAGGTACTGTTGGAGAGGTCAAAGACACATAATACAGAACAAAAATTAATAAAGCGAACTCCTGAGTTAAACATCTGAAGGAAAGTCTTGGCATGTGTCACTTGTCTGTGTTCACTTGTGATCTTGTTGGTCCATTCACCAGAAGTCTGTATGTTGGTAGTGATGGTCTGAAAGTTTACAGTAGAGGTGACCTAAACACCACTACTGTATAATTATAGTACAGTGGACCCCCGCATAACGATGGCATCGCATAGCGATTTTTCCGCATAACGATTACTTTTATCGCAAAATTTTTGCCCCGCATACCGATTAAAAACCCGCATACCGATTTTCGTCCGAGACGCGTCCAATGTGCCCTCACATGTGCCGGCCGTCCCATTGTTTACCCGCCAGCCCTCCGCGGTAACATCCAAGCATACACTCGGATATTTCGTATTATTACAGTGTTTTTCGGTGGTGTTTTCTGGAAAATAAGTGACCATGGGCCCCAAGAAAAGCTTCTAGTGCCAACCCTGTGGTAAAAAGGGTGAGAATTAGTATGGAAATTTAAGAAAGATTTTGAAGGGTTTGGGGCTAACCCTGAGAAGCCTATGCCAGTTGGGGAAATCCATTGTGCCTACTTCAAAGATTAAGGGAAATGTGTGCAGAGTGGTTTGAACTGCAAACCTTTATAGATGAAAATCACCCTGACACAGCTTTTTGCAAGCCGTGCTTGTGACAAATTTCAATGACAATGTTATGGCCCATTTTAGGAAATTTCTTGAAGAAACGGGAGGTACAGAGCTCTATGGACAGATTTGTTGTGGGGACAGAGGTCCAGTGACTCTGAAGCTGGTTTCCCAGTGGCATTAAAAGAAGAAGGGAAGTAACCCCAGAAAAGGACTTGCTACCTCAAGTCCTAATGGAAGGGGATTCCCCTTCTAAACAGTAAGAAGATAAGCTCTCCCCTCCTCCCATCCCATCAATCATCACCAGATCTTCAATAAAAGTAAGTGTCATGTAATTGTGCATGCCTTTTTCAGTTTGTGTGTATTTAAAAATTTAAAATTTTCATGTGGTAAAAAAAATTTTTTTTTCATACTTTTGGGGCGTCTTGCACGGATTAATTTTATTTCCATTATTTCTTATGGGGAAAATTAATTCGCATAACGATTATTTCGCATAACGATGAGCCCTCTTGCACGGATTAAAATCGTTAACCGGGGGTCCACTGTACTGGTAAGCTAAATGCCACTATATTCTTCTAGTAGTGGTGAGTTAAACAAAATTATACTAAATAAGGGCCAGCAGTATACATGAAGCCAATAATAACTGGTGAGTTTGTCTTCAGCCTCACTGCAGTCCTCCTCAGCAGGGACCAGGAACCAGTAAATACCAATTACTTTCTGAGGTTAATAGGTAGGTCAACCCCCACAAACCCAGCTCAGTCTAATCTTGGAGAAAGCCTCGTTTAGTAGAAAGTGAAATATACAATCTTATATTTTTTATAGTCTAAGTGTGGATTTACGTGTCAGTAGTGATAGTTTATTTCATAAGTAATGTGTGTGATGGGTAATTTAAATTTTAATGCTCACAGCAGACAGAGGCAGTTTGATACTGGTCAATGCTGGCTCTCTTCGCAGTACTTTTATTAACACTAATAGTTCATTAGTAGGACGTTCAGCTCACAACCAAAATGATCTGGGCTTGACTACCAGGCGGGGCGAGAATAATGGGCAAGTCTCCTTACTCCTGCTGTCCCTGTTCACCTAGTAGTAAATAAGTACCTGGATGTTAGTCAACTGTTGTGGGTGGCAACCTGGGGTAGAACAAGGACTCCAACAGAAATAAGCCATATTTATCTTTCTAAAGTTATCTTGAGTTAATATCCCCAAAAAGAAGAAAAATTCTTCCATTGGAATATTAACCCTTGAGGATTATTAATCATTGATAACCAAGCAATGGGACTTGTTTCCATTGGGGGCCCTTAATTCCTCCTCTCCAGGATACGAGCCATAACAGAGCACTAACATCCAGGTGCTGTAAGTACTTTGTGCTAGGTGAACAGACAGAGGAAGCGTAGGACAACTTGTCCAGATGTCTGGGCTTGCTCGACGATGGAACTCCAAGTTCTTCAAGTTGTCCAGTCATCTTCAACTGAGTTACAGTCACAATTTGATAAAACGAAAAATTATTTCTTTTTCTCTTTTTTTTTTCTTTCGAAATCTAAAGTGTGACAGTGTCTCTGCTAAGAAAGGCCATGATGGCTGCTGCAGTCTTGGTGCTGAGTGAGGTCCTGCAGTGTATTTGTTCTGCTGATGACTTGGCCACATTACCCAGGGAGCCAAAGCAAGCAAGCAGTGCTGACATCTCTAAAATGGAAGAACACTTACTTTTTTATCATAACTGTCTAGTGTGTTCTGATATTTGACATTACTATTCTTATGTTATACATAAACCAAACTACTTGATATTATTTCACAAACTGTAATTACTACCAAGGACCACAATAGAAATAAGTCACTTTGTCTGCCTTTTTTGGGCTATCCTGGTGGAAAATTTACACTGTGTGTGATAATTATCTTATGTGTACCTGTGCCTAAATAAACTTACCACCACTAACTACTTATACCAAGAAATACTCTCTCTCAATTACTAACACTACCAAACATTCACCATTATCCAGGCAAGAGCATCCTTGCCTAAAGTCTGCAAACATGGAAACATTACTTATGGTTCTTCTACCTGTAAGACTTGACTTGTTAGAAATTTTTTAACTTATGATGGTAATGAAGATAGGAATGCAAACAATGTGACTGAATCTGAGGGAAACACCTGTAACCTAGAGTATACCTGGAGGATGTTTCGGGGATCAACGCCACAGAGGCCCAGTGCATGACCAGGCCTCAGTTGAAATTCAACTACGGAATCTCTGCATTATTAGTAGTAGTAGTAGTAAGCCCTTGTGGCTTAGCGCTTTTTTTTTATTATAATAATAATAAATATAATTAGTAGTAGTAATAGTAATAATAGCAGCAGCAGTAGTAGTAATAGTATTAGTAGTAATAGTAGCAACAGTAGTAGTAGTAGTAGCTTACCTTGATGAGGATGGAAAATACTATGTTACGTTTGGTTGCCAAAAAAAAAAAAAAAACCTCATAGCCCAAAATGTAACTTGTCTCCATGGTACAACCCACTTAATACATAATAAACTATGACTAGGCTCACAGCAAGGACCAATATCTAGTAGTAGTCGTTGGAAAGTGCTTAATCTATAAGGGCTGTATACCGTGTATATGCATACCTCTTGGTGTAAATACATTGTCAGTTACTGATGATGTTGGATCGTTTGAATATTCTCACCTTTTTACCTCCAGAAAAAAATATTTAATTTTAAGCCTATAGCGAAAAACTAATTTGAAAGGACCTGGGAGTGTTAATGTCAGAGGATCTCGCCTTCAAACACCATAATAATGTATTTAACTCATCTGCTAGAAAAATGATAGGATGGATAATGAGAACCTTCAAAACTAGAGACCCCAAGCCCATGATGATTCTCTTCAAATCACTTCTTCTCTCTAGGCTGAAATACTGCTGCTGTATAGCCCTTGTGGCTTAGCGCTTCTTTTTTATTATAATAATAATAATGAAGAGAGAGGTGAAAGTTTATAAACTAAAAGAGGAGGCAGTTAGGGTAAGATATAAACAGCTATTGGAGGATAGATGGGCTAATGAGAGCATAGGAAATGGGGTCAAAGAGGTATGGGGTAGGTTTAAAAATGTAGTGTTAAAGTGTTCAGCAGAAGTTTGTGGTTACAGGAAAGTGGGTGTGGGAGGGAAGAGGAGCGATTGGTGGAATGATGATGTAAAGAGAGCAGTAAGGGAGAAAAAGTTAGCATATGAGAAGTTTTTACAAAGTAGAAGTGATGCAAGGAGGGAAGAGTATATGGAGAAAAAGAGAGAGGTTAAGAGAGTGGTGAAGCAATGTAAAAAGAGCAAATGAGAGAGTGGGTGAGATGTTATCAACAAATTTTGTTGAAAATAAGAAAAAGATTTGGAGTGAGATTAACAAGTTAAGGAAGCCTAGAGAACAAATGGATTTGTCAGTTAAAAATGGAAGAGGAGAGTTATTAAATGGAGAGTTAGAGGTATTGGGAAGATGGAGGGAATATTTTGAGGAATTGTTAAATGTTGATGAAGATAGGGAAGCTGTGATTTCGTGTATAGGGCAAGGAGGAATAACATCTTGTAGGAGTGAGGAAGAGCCAGTTGTGAGTGTGGGGGAAGTTCGTGAGGCAGTAGGTAAAATGAAAGGGGGTAAGGCAGCTGGGATTGATGGGATAAAGATAGAAATGTTAAAAGCAGGTGGGGATATAGCTTTGGAGTCGTTGGTGCTATTATTTAATAAATGTATGGAAGAGGGTAAGGTACCTAGGGATTGGCAGAGAGCATGCATAGTTCCTTTGTATAAAGGCAAAGGGGACAAAAGAGAGTGCAAAAATTATAGGGGGATAAGTCTGTTGAGTATACCTGGTAAAGTGTATGGTAGAGTTATTATTGAAAGAATTAAGAGTAAGACGGAGAATAGGATAGCAGATGAACAAGGAGGCTTTAGGAAAGGTAGGGGGGTGTGGACCAGGTGTTTACAGTGAAACATATAAGTGAACAGTATTTAGATAAGGCTAAAGAGGTCTTTGTGGCATTTATGGATTTGGAAAAGGCATATGACAGGGTGGATAGGGGGGCAATGTGGCAGATATTGCAGGTGTATGGTGTAGGAGGTAGGTTACTGAAAGCAGTGAAGAGTTTTTACGAGGATAGTGAGGCTCAAGTTAGAGTATGTAGGAAAGAGGGAAATCATTTCCCAGTAAAAGTAGGCCTTAGACAAGGATGTGTGATGTCACCATGGTTGTTTAATATATTTTATAGATGGGTTGTAAGAGAAGTAAATGCGAGGGTCTTGGCAAAAGGCGTGGAGTTAAAAGATAAAGAATCACACATAAAGTGGGAGTTGTCACAGTTGCTCTTTGCTGATGACACTGTGCTCTTGGGAGATTCTGAAGAGAAGTTGCAGAGATTGGTGGATGAATTTGGTAGGGTGTGCAAAAGAGAAAATTAAAAGTGAATACAGGAAAGAGTAAGGTTATGAGGATAACAAAAAGATTAGGTGATGAAAGATTGGATATCAGATTGGGAGAGAGTATGGAGGAGGTGAATGTATTCAGATATTTGGGAGTGGACGTGTCAGCGGATGGGTCTATGAAAGATGAAGTGAATCATAGAATTGATGAGGGGAAAAGGGTGAGTGGTGCACTTAGGAGTCTGTGGAGACAAAGAACTTTGTCCTTGGAGGCAAAGAGGGGAATGTATGAGAGTATAGTTTTACCAACGCTCTTATATGGGTGTGAAGCATGGGTGATGAATGTTGCAGCGAGGAGAAGGCTGGAGGCAGTGGAGATGTCATGTCTGAGGGCAATGTGTGGTGTGAATATAATGCAGAGAATTCGTAGTTTGGAAGTTAGGAGGAGGTGCGGGATTATCAAAACTGTTGTCCAGAGGGCTGAGGAAGGGTTGTTGAGATGGTTTGGACATGTAGAGAGAATGGAGCAAAACAGAGTGACTTCAAGAGTGTATCAGTCTGTAGTGGAAGGAAGGCGGGGTATGGGTCGGCCTAGGAAAGGTTGGAGGGAGGGGGTAAAGGAGGTTTTGTGTGCGAGGGGCTTGGACTTCCAGCAGGCATGCGTGAGCATGTTTGATAGGAGTGAATGGAGACAAATGGTTTTTAATAGTTGACGTGCTGTTGGAGTGTGAGCAAAGTAACATTTATGAAGGGGTTCAGGGAAACCGGCAGGCCGGACTTGAGTCCTGGAGATGGGAAGTACAGTGCCTGCACTCTGAAGGAGGGGTGTTAATGTTGCAGTTTAAAAACTGTAGTGTAAAGCACCCTTCTGGCAAGACAGTGATGGAGTGAATGATGGTGAAAGTTTTTCTTTTTCGGGCCACCCTGCCTTGGTGGGAATCGGTCAGTGTGATAAAAAAAAAATAATAATAATGAAATACTGCTGTACACTAACGGCCCGCTTCAAGGCAAGTGATATTGCTGACTTGGAGAATGTGCAGATAAGTTTCACAGCACACTTAAGTATGATAAAGCACCTAAATTACTGGGAACGATTGAAGTCCCTTGATCTGTATTCCTTGGAATGCAGGCGAGAAAAATACATGATAATATACACTTGGAAAATCCTAGAGGAATTGGTACCAAACCTACACAAAAAAATCACTCCCTACAGGAGTGTTGCAACAGGGCAGGAGATGCCATATGGCAGGAGATGCAACATACCCCCAATGAAAGCAGGGGTCCAAGACTGTTCAACTGCCTCCCAGCATATATAAGGAGGGTTACCAACAGACCTCTGGCTGTTTTCAAGAAAGCGCTGATCAGCCGAGCTGTGGTTCGTGCGTCAGTTTCTGTGCAGTCAGCAGAAACAGCCTGGTTCATCAGACCCTGATCCACCATGAGGCCTGGTCACAGACCGGGCTGATGGGGGCATTGACCCCCTGAAACCCTCACCAGGTAAACTCCAGGCAGCCTATTTAAGAATTTGCATGACTAGTTAATTAATTTGTTTGGGGCATAGGGGTGGGCACGATTGACTTTTGTACATTATTGAATTTACAGTTGAAGAATTGTTAACTACCTAAGCTTATTTTAAAGTCTAAGAAGTAAAGTGCTTGTGGCTTGATTGATAGCCTCACCTCACACACACTGAGGGTGTGGGATCGACCCCCAGCACGGTTGGAAACGTTGGTCATGTTTCCTTACACCTGCTGTCCCTGTTCACCTGGCAGTAAGTAGTTACCTGTGTTAGTCACCTTACACTTCCTGTCCCTATTCACTCATCAGTTAGTAGGTACCTGTGTCATTCACCCTACATCTGTTGTTCCTGTTCACCTAGCAGTCCCCTCAAGGAAGGTTCCTTGATGTTGGTGAGGGGCTCTTGATTTAGGAAATTGGATCTGTGCTCCAGTTCCCCGAATTAAGCCTGAATGCCTTCCACATCCCCCCCCCCGGCGCTGTATAATCCTCCGGGTTTAGCGCTTCCCCTTGATAATAATAATAATAATAATCACCTAGCAGTAAGTAGGTATCTGGGTATTAGTCACACCTGCTGTCCCTGTTCACCTAGCATTAAGTAGGTACCTGGGTGTTAGTCACACCTTACACCTTCTGCCCCTGTTCACCTAGCAATAAGTAGGTACCTGGGTGTTAGTCGACTGTTGTGGGTGACATCCTGAGGAAGAGATTAAAAGGACTACAATGGAAATGACAGAGTTCCTGATGATGCACTGATTCTATTGGGTCACCCTGGATGGCTAACCCTCCGGGTTAAAAATCCCAAGAAAATCTTATCGTAAGCAAGTTTAGTTAGGTACAAATTTAATAAATGCAATTATCCTACATAAGTAACGTATGTGTAAATTACCATTGAGGATCCAGCACCGTCTAACATATTCTACCTTCCTTGGATGATAAACTCAAGTCACCTAATATCCAGGCACCTACTTAAAGGTAGATGACCACGGGCAGCAGGTGTAAAGAAACATGCCAAAAGTCTTCACTAGCCTCAGGATCGAACCAGGGTCTTTGTATTGTAAACCGACGGGGCTACCACTGGTAGCCGCATGGTATCACGTAAGTTTATTTAATAATAATACTAAATAATAATACTCCATGGGGAAGTGGAACAGAATTCTTCCTCCGTAAGCCATGCGTGTCGTAAGAGGCGGTTAAAATGCCAGGAGCAAGAGGCTAGTAACCCCTTCTCCTGTATATACAGTGGTCCCTCGTTTTTCGTAATTAATCCGTTCCTGGAGGAGCTACTATAAACGAAATTTACGATTTGCGAATCAATTTTCCCCATAAGAAATAATGTAAATACAATTAATCCGTTTCTGACACTCAGAAGTATTAAAACAAAAAAAATTTTTTTACATGAAATATACATGTAGTACATAAACAATACAATGGGAAATGATGAATGAAACATTAACAGCATAACACTTACCTTTATTGGAGATTCTTCTTAGTGTATGGGAGACTGAGGAGGAGAGAGATTGGATTGTTTACAGTTTGGAAGGGGAATCCCCTTCCAGCAACACCTCAGGTACCAATTGCTTCTCTGGGGTTGCTTCTCTTCTCTGTTTCTTAATGCCACTAGGACCACCTTGAGAGTCACTCTAGTCCTGTCTCGCAAAGTAACTGTGGAGAGAGCTCTGTTTCTGGTGTCTCTTTAACACTTCCCTAAAATGGTACAAGACTTTGTCACTGTACATATTTCTCACCTTCTTTACCACAGGCTTGGCACTAGGAGCTTTCTTTGGAGCCATGGTAGCTTATTTAGTACTTGCAAGCACTGAAATGAGTGGAATATTATGAAATATTTCGTAGGAGCACTTGAGGGGACCTTCACTCACTGGTAAACAATGCCAGACTGGCTGGGTAGGGAGGCCTCCCTGGCTCACACCATGCGTAAGCGTCCTGGACAAACTACTATTCGCGAGTCAATCTATGAAAAGCGAGTCCATGTTTATACGAAAATACCCCTATGATTGGCGAAATTTACGATTGCCGAGAACTACGAAAAGCGAGGGACCACTGTATTACTAAATTTAAAAGGCGAAACTTTTCGTTTTTCCTTTTTGGGCTACCCCGCCTGAGTGGGAAATAGCTGGTGCGCTGAAAGAAATAATAATAATAATAATAATAATAATCTTTATTTCTATAAGTATATGGTACAACTTACACAGACCATAGTTGACATCAATGACATATTATATAGAAGGCCCCTTGTTATGCAAAGCATTTCTTGCAATTTAGGTTAAATTTGTCCCCAGGATGCTACCCACACCAGTCTACTAACACCCAGGTACCTACTTAGTGCTAGGTGAACATAGGCAGCAGGTCACAATGTTTCCATCGTGTAAATTGCTCACCAGTCAGAGTGACATATTTCCACAGTGTAAGATTAACACTAGTTTAGTACATGATACTGACGGTGATTATTGAGTCCCATGGCACGACCCATAGTGTAGGTGTGTTGCCTGGTGGTCAGTGTTGCTTCTAGTATTTCTTCCATCCTTGACTCTACCACCTGCCTCCGCTCAGTCAGTGTTGCCTGCAACACCAAAATAAATTTTTATTTCTTTATGTTGTACAAAATAATGTAGTTTACATGTAATAAAACATTGGCAGACACAAAAGAAAGCCACTAGTATGTAATGCATTTCTGCCAAACCATAATATATATATATCCATAAAAACAGATGTACAACTTAAACTATGAAAATTTCTGAAGTATTAAGTAGTCTGTAAGTCATTAATTAAGTCTGGCCATAATGCCTTAGCATGATAGTGGCTCTTTATTCTGCAACTCATTATTGTAACTACAGAATCTCAATGTAAACTTACAAAGAAATAAAAATTGTATTGTATTATACTGTTATTATTATTGGTGGGCTAATGGGGTTTAAATCCTATCGACTACATTAGTTATTAAGGCTACACGTAATCTTTTTACCACCAGACTTGAATACTTTAATATTGAAAATAGAGATTAAAGTAAGCTCAGTGTATATACACTGAGAGACACTTCTCGGTGTATATATCGTGTATTATTATTATTAAACTAAAACAGTTTAGGTCACATAGCACTTAGGGAATGGGAGGTAATTATGCTTGATCCAAGGACGGGGAGGGTGGTTCCAGAACCTTGGATCCAGAGCTCTTGACCAGCATCGTGGCACCTTCCTTCCCTTGAATAGAGGAATAAACAAGAGAGGTGGAGATAATTACCTTAGCCAGCACCTGGATGTGGGCGGCTGCCTGGGCGTCACCATGGGCGGGCAACAGGAGAGGTGGGCGGGGCAGTAGTCTCACCTGAAGTTCACCTATAATACCGCCCACTTCCTCCTCTCCAAACACCGCCCCCACCACCACCACCACGCCCACACGGTGACCTCGCATGAATGATGACACCCTGTATGAAATAGGTCATCAAATCGCATCTGAATTCATGAAATAGTATTGGTTACTGAATTACTTAAACACACAGATATGCTACAACACAGGAAAGATATACTTGGCCGAGAGATCACTGAATTAGAGCAAAAACTTAGGATGTCATAGCCTCATACCTCACAGAAGAAATACAAAGGGAACAAAGGGCCATACAGGATATTGCAAGAAACCCAAAATATTTCTATTCCTACGCAAAATTCAAGCTAAGAACTACCTGTAGAATTGGACTACTACTGAGAGGAGACTCGTATACTGACGATGAAGAGGAAATGAGTGAAATCCTAAAAGAACAGTATGAGTCGGTGTTCAGCAACCCACTACATGAGTAATATTTTTCACTCCAGAAGGCCATGCAGACCAACTAACTGACATTAGAATTGTCTGCATCGCTCTTGGGCCGTGTAGACCCCCTTGCCTAGGTCCTCAGTAACCTGACAGCAGTGGTACGGGGGTGTTGTTGTGTCCCCTGTTTGAAAACCGCTGGAAAATTACTGGTGTTAAGATGGGGGTTTTTGTCCCGCAGATGCATTAATACTATTGGTATTGAACTGCTTCGAGTGCAAATTACACCTATTTTCAGCTCAGATACTCTTACCCAAGATAATCGGGGAAAACATATGGCATTCAAGACTGTGAATTGTATGGGGTAGCGTTGAATGGAGCGCATAAAATATTTGTGAAACTGCTTGCTGGGGACAGTTTATGAATCGGTGGTTACCCCGCTTTCAAGATGTGTGTTTTGACGTTATCCTGCTGTGCGTGTGAGACTGGTGGACCGTTTTCTCGATATTATACCTGGATAAAGTTGCAGAATGTCCCCTTTGAGGCGAACGAAGCTGACATCAGAAACGTATTTGAGAAATATGGGACCGTGCATTCTGCCCAGCAGGGTAAGTGGTTGATGGGTGCCTACGAAGGTATACCGGAAGGAACTTTCAGCCTTAAAATGACGTTGCGGCAACCCATACCATCAAAACGTGTATCTTCAAGATTTAGGACACAGGTAATGGTTTTATATCTTGGACAACGGGTACGTGTCGCATTTGGGAAAAGTATGACCACATAGCGGCGGCATTCAAGAACAGACGCGTGACCAAACCTATGCAAGAAGAGGTAGCCCCTGTCACACGGGGTGAAGGTGAGCATCGTTTCATCAGAGGAAGGGCGTGGTCGTTTGTGGAGTGAGATGGTGGAACAGGCTTTTCGAAATAAAGAGTGAGTCCTCCCATCAGCTCCCTGCATCTGAGATTGGTCCCCCCCCGAAAGACATGTAAATATGGGGGAGGAATTGACGAATTTTTAAAGACCTTGTCACCACCTGTGGTGGAAGCTCCGTCTACGAATGACGTAGCTGGAGACTTTTTGAGTCCAGATTGTAAAAAAATATGAGACTCAGCGGAATGACGACGAACTGAGACATCAGGGGACTTCATACCTCACTGTAAAGTGGATGTTTGAGGTAAAACCGTGAGGCTTCCTCAGACCTTGACAGGGAGGATAAGAACATTACAAGGAAACGAGCAGCTGCATCAGATTCAGATGACTACTGACGCCAGCAACAGAGGACTGGGAAGAAAACTAAGAGATGGGAGGGGGAAGGGATGGGGGAGGGGGGGGGGTCATGTGACGCCATCCCCAAAAGGGAGGAGAATGGGAAGGTATTGTAAAAAAAAACCCATAGAAATAACAATTCAAGTGGTGAAAAACGAGGGAGAAGAGGCAAGGGTGGAAAACATAACAGGCCTTAGGTGTATGACTGCTAATGTTAACGGTTTAAGTACTAGACTAAAGAAGATTGGTTAAACAATTTTCTTAGCAAACATAGAGTTGTTTATGTTCCTTCAGAACACAATTTCAAAGGGGGGGGAAGGTTGGAGGTTGCAGGTTATAAAGTACTGACCCTCCCCAACTATCCGTTTGAAAGGTGGTGGGTCTTTTTAATAAAAGAGACTAGACCGTTTGTATTGCAGAGATGTGAGGGGGTGGGGAAGGGTGCTGAGAGTGGATGGAACTTGGAGGGGAAAGCGTGTATCTTGAGTAAGTGGAGCCCCTGCGGAGAATACACGAAGTACGAAAGGATTTTGTGTGTGAGGACCTTGTTTTTTTTTTTGCGTGCACTTCCGGAAGTGGCGATAGTGGGGGGTGACTGGAACTGTGTCATCAGGGCGGGTGACTCGAGCCCGAAGGGGCTGGGATATGTCTGCACCTCTCAGAAATTTGTTGAGGGATGTTAAGTTACGTGATGCATTGGGGAGGGGTTTGGGAAACGGAACATACTTTTATCAGAAGGGGATATGCTGCAAGTTGGACAGAGTGATATTTCTCAAGGGGTAGTTGCAAAGTCTTTTAATACGGGCGAGACAGTCTGTCAGATCATAGGGCAGTAGTAGTGGAGGTAGGGTGGGAGGGGAAAGGGGGAATTTTAATCGGCCTTATTGGAAATTAAATATTAGTGTGTTAGGTTATGAAGGAAGGTTTTAGAGGGTTTTTCTATGCTGTGGAAAGAGCTTTCAAGGGAAGCTCAGGAGGTAGAAGACATTGTAACGTGGTGGGACTCGGCAGCAAAAGAAAGGGTAAAATCCTTTACGTTGGGAGGGGAAACGTATAAACACTTTAAAAATATGGACTAGTGAATTATTTAGAGGATCGATTAAAAGATTGTTATGGCAGGAAAGGTTTGGTGGTGTTTACCCCAATGGACGAGATTTTAAACATAAAAGAGAACTTGCGAACATTGCATAATGAGCGGTTTCAAGCGGTGGGGTGCAAGCAGGATTAGAAAAATTTTGTGGGGAGACAAGCCATCCGCGTGTGTGTTGCGGCAGCAAAAGCAAAAGCAGTCGCTGATGGCAATCCGAGCTTGGAGGTACATGAGACGATGGGAATCCATAGAGCAGGTCAAGTGATAAAAAAACACGAAAGCTATGTGCATATGCGGATATGTGGTATAGAAAACACTGGACTAGTAGTGAAGTGGATGAAGTGGAATTAAATAGGGTGTGCACCTATGCCAAATGCAATTTGGGTCATAGTGATAGGAAGGCTTGGGTGGGGATATTAAATGAGGAGGAAATTGAAATTGCTTTACCCCGAATGAGAAAAAGGGGAAAGCCCCAGGTATGATGGTTTTTCCGGTGGAATTTTATTTACAGCATTGGGCGTTTATTGGGAAGTTCATGTAAAGATTATTAAATTTTATGAAGGAGAAGGGTACGTTAGGGAATAAGCAGAATACAGCAATTGTGTGCGGGCCCGAAAGGCAAAGGGCAGCCAGACCTTGGGAATATAGGGCAATATCGTTGCTCTGTGCAGACTATAAGGTTTTTCGCTAAAATTTTGGGTAATAGGGTGAAATGCGTGGTGGGGAGGGTTGTTTCAAACCCTCGCAGTTTGGGTTGCTGGGCAGTCGATGTTAGAAGGTCAAAGGTATTTTAAGAAGTTTTGTGGAGTCCCAAGGGGGGGGGGGGGGGGCGGCTTTTACTGGGCCTTAGACTGGCGAGCCGCCTATGATAGAGTGGAAAGAGGTGCACTGCAGAGTATACTTAGGAGACAGGGTTACGGTGGAAGAAATAGTTGGATGGGTAAACACGCTGTATAAGGGAGCAAAGATGAGAGTAACAAATAAATGGGTGTATGGGGACGGACCTTTGAGATGGTAGAGGTTTTTCGACAAGGGTTTCCCTATGTCACAGATCTTATTCGCTGTTTTTCAGGATCCCTTTTACAGGGTGGTTGAGAGCACAGTCAATTCCCCCGGGGGGAGGGGGGTAGGGTAGGGGATGTTTGGCCAGCATTAATAGGTTATATGGATGACACGACTGTTTGGTGGTGAACGGATGTCCCATGAAAATGTTTGGAAGATGTTTCGTTGTTTTGAACAAGCCACCGGGTATGAAGGTAAATAGTGAAAAGTCAATGATCATGGGTTCGGGACCCGGAAAGGGGGGGAATGGTGAGCTGTTACGTGGTTAACAAATACTGCGATGTCATTAAAGATTTGTGGTAATATTTATAGAGACGATTTGGATGTGGCACGGGAGGAAAATTCAGTAAGGATGTTGGAAAAGGTCAAATTGGTCGTCTGGGTGTTTTTGAGGCCCCACACTCACTCTGGCCCAACGTGTGATCGTTGTTAACGTTTTAATTGTATAGAAGGTGTGGCACGTTGCGGCTGTATTCCGATTACAGGGAAAAGCGATCAATGGAATATTGAGACGAGTATTTACCTTTTTGTGGGGATCGAGGTGTGATTGGTTAAAACGTGAGGTTGTTATGTTACCTGTCCGTCGAGGAGGTTTGCGATTGTTGGACTTAAAGCGTAGGGTAAAATGTGTTTTTCTAAAGTGGGAGGTTTGGCGTGTGGGTGTGATGGTGGGAAATATGGAACAGGTATATATGAGGTTGAAAAAGTGGTATGGGGGAATGGAATTGAGGGAATGTTGATGGTAAGGGAACGGAAAAACATTCGCATAAGGGTTTTAAGTAGGTTACTGGGGGGTACGTGCGCAGCTCCAGTAGAAGGTATGTTCCCCATGTACTCGTGGGAAAATATTTGGCTCAGATTTAGTAAGCTGAAATTACGGCCTAGGGTGCGTGAAGTCATGTTCCGTTTTTTACATGGTATATTGCCGTCAGGGGCAATACTACAATCCAGAAGAGTCGTGGAAGGTGGCGGGTGTGGGTTTTGTGGAGAAGACACGGCTTTTCATGTTGTCTATTTTTGCGAAGGTTTAGAAGATGTCAGGGGTTGGTTAGGTAGGGTGGTATAGAAGGTGGGGGGGAGAGGGGTGCAGGTCCTGCGCGCGTTATTAAGTCTCGACATCGGTGGATTAGACCAGGAAGTTAGACGAGCTTTAGATTATATTATCGTGGATTACATTTATATTTCGTGGGTAATGAGGGGGAAAGGGGTAAGTGAGGTGAAACGGCATGTCCTTGCATTAACGTTTTATCATACAA